TAACAAGTGGTTTAGTGATACATTTTGTTTGCGTTGAATAATGGTTCAGTGGATGGAAAAAAAATACTCTTTTTAGTTTGCGCAGAGTTAGCTGTCAACTCGAGGGTTGATTTGAGTCTTTGAATTGCATTGTCCCGCTATCGTCACAGCTTTTTGATAGGTCGCATCATTGCAGCTAGTCGTGTGACATAAATCGGTTTATGTCAGACCAAGACATAATACTGAAACGTCCGCCTCCATTGGTTCATCGAGCTTTGGGCGGATGATTTGTATATGTTTTCATTTGGTGCATTGTTTTTCTTTCACAGTGCGGGTGACGACGGCTAAACAAAGGAAAGCGGTTAGTTCGATAAACAAGCAAACTACGACATTATGTTGGTTACATCTATTTCAATTACGTACATTTGCTGCAATGGACAAATTGTTTTCGACCTACGATACGGTACAAGAATGACACGAGGTATCTACACGAGCTAGTCTACAAAAGGTTTACGGTACGTAACGACTCATATGATTGCTGAGGAACAAAAACGGTAATTGAACGTATATTGGATTATGTGGAGATGAGTTCAAATAAAGGAGCCCATCCGTCAACGCTGCCACTGTGGGGAATTGTCTTGACGTTCAAGCTTTTTCTGTTGTAAGGGGCATCCATAGTCAGCACTGAAACGTTCCTTTGCGACGTGGAAAGCATTCCCGTCACGGGAAATTTATTCATATTAGTGTCGTTAGCTAATATTTAGGTTGATGATAATGAATCTAGATATCCGGTGATCTAACTTACTCATATTCTGAACTTTTAACCGTTCAATGTACCATATGACGATTGACTCTGATGAGGACCGCCATACTAAACATCTGACACCTAGCGAAATTATATTACAAACACTATCGATCGTTTATAAATAACTTCTGGGAAAGCAACTAGCAGATACTCACTCATACATAAAGACAAAATCTAACCCTGCTTATAAGATGATCTGAAAGGCAAGGAAATGCTGAATGTATTTTCAGTCGGAGAAATCGGAACAATAGAAAGATCAATACCCGACCAGCAGATCGTTGTCATGTCTGCGACTGTTTACTATAGAAAGAAAAAATACGTTAATATTAACAATGCATAGTATTAAGATCGCATAGATCAATATGAGTGAAATAGCAAAAGGCTTATAAGTTGCCATCTGCAAATGATAGAGTCATAGTGGCATTTAAGCTAATATAGAATTAAATAAAATATTATCTTATATAAATGATACTGACTATAATTGTCAGAAATTGCCTAAGGTAAAATTAATGAAACAAATGAAATAGGACAATGTTTAAACATTATGGCTAGAAAATAAAGGTAGATCTGTAACGTGAGAGTTAACCAGGGCTGAACAAGAAGCCTTGCAGGTTTATGCTGCTGCAATCGTTATAATGCGAGATTTTTTATTTACATAGATTGTTAAACTAGGTATGCGCACTCTGACACAATCCATACAAGCCAAAATTAAAAAAGCTCTACAAAAGTTAAAGCTGATTTGACAAAAAAAAAAACAGGGAAAAACACATGAAATATACTTCTATGCGCTGCAATCGCTCAACTCTGCACCACTTCGGTTTTTGCGGTGGTAATCAAATAAAGCGGCAATCAATAGCTGAAAATATAGAAGCTTTTTACAAATTAATTAATGGGACATTTGGTGAGATAAGCAGAAGTAGTCTCATTGTTCGTAGAGGTGTTACAATTTATCAACGATCATCTATAGACCAAGTGATTTTCTTTTGTGAAAACACCTGTTAGAACTACACCCTACGTTTGGATAAAAGTGATAGTTACCATTAAACTTGAAAAATGCGGAGAAGTGAATCAATTTCGCCATGGTACCTAAATAATGCTTCGAATATTACGTCGTTACGCTTCTCTGACAATTGACTTCTACTACGAAACTTAGACCACCACACGTCTTAAAGGTGACCAGACAAATGGGAACCTAAAGTAACTTAATAGTAATAGTTCGTATCTTCGTGATTTTGCTAATTTTGATTTTGATAATTATTCAATGAAGTTAGATAAATATGTTATGATATTCAGCGGTGAACTTAAAAAATACCGATACCAGATCATTCTATTCAATTATTTTTAGAAACAATAAATATAAGAATATTCGCTGAAATTCTAGGATATTTGTCATCATCTGAACATTTTGTATTAGACGACAACTAACAAATGAAAAATCATAATAGGGCATCCGGCCTATGGGAGCAGTCTTGGGTTTCAGCGGAGGCAAAAGGTAAACATCAAATAATGAGATCTACAAATAAATTAGTACAACTTTTTATTAGTACAGCTACTGCGCCTCTACGATGTTTTCGTTCGGTTTATTAATAGTTTTTCAATATTTGTTAAAAAGTATGGCATTTTTTAAATAGATATATCTTATGATATTTTTTAAAAACGCTTTCACTCTAATACATACGTAGAGCTATTTCGAGGACATATAAGTATCTTGTTGAAATTTGTGACCGTATAATATACAACACTGTAGTCAAATTTTACTATCGTATTGAGACGTTATATGGAAACCGAGAGTTTTGTGTTGAAATAGATTCAATGAATCATCAGAAGGTAGCCCACCTAAACGATCCTGTCCAGTGAGTTTTATCCTCGATAACAACAACTACATAACGAAATTGGCGCAGCGAACGTACGAATATTAATTTTTCATTTTAGTTCCATCGCTAGAATTTTTGGAAAACAAAAGTACAATTTAAAAAATTATTCTCAAACCTGCTTTTGGCTAGCATTGTTCATCGATGTTTACTTACAATTAACAGATGCTGAGGTCATAAACGACAAATACGATCTGGACGTCGAGGACTGAGAATTTATGACCTTACTTTCGTCAATATTGGGGATGTCGTCTATCTAGAGAAAAGTAATCGATCATATCAGAAGGTTTCTACGAGCACAAACATTTTCCAGCAGATTCATAATAGCGTAATGTAGAGGAAAGCTATATTTACCTTCTAGATCAGATAGCGTTTAGTTCGTTTGGGCGTAGATGTACCAACCAAGCATATGGGTCTTATGTAACGAACTATATAAACTGTCTAAGCCCACAGCTAAATTTAAGTACGACCCTGCTGAGCAAACCATTTTCCGCCTAATCTTCTTTATAGTGATTTTTTCCACTGACCACAGTCGCTATGTCTTATGTTATTTATTTGGCCACTTGTTTTTTAGCACTGAATCGCGCGCCAACTTAGCTCACCGTATGGTTTCGCCTTATAGCTGACAAATATAGCAAAAGATTATAAGGGCCACAATTGATATTCCAACCCTGGATCATAACACGTAGTCATGACACCGAAACAATTTCTAAGGAAAGAGACAAACGATACAGAGTCCATAGAACGTAATGCATTGCCCGTTATGAGAATGTTTCTATTTCAGTCAGTTTTCCTTTATTTTCGTTTTGCCATTTTGAAGCGCAACATTAATTACCATTTGTTTCCATGTCATCTGTACCATTTGTTTTCATCTTCCCAGAGCAATACCAGGGCTACTGGGATAGTTGTTCAGAATAGGTCGCCATATCTAATAGATAACTGGAAACTGTAATTCAGTAAGCTAATGCTTTAAATAAATTGTTTATCTTTTAAGTCGCTTTATATAGTATTGGCTTAATCGGCTATAGCTAGCCGACACTTCGAGGCAAACGAGGAAGCCAAAAGAGTCTCTATGCGTCTCGAGTGTACGTCCGGTATCGTCGTTAGGCATCTCATTAGACGTGTCCTTAAGATTAGCGAACAAATAACTTACCCAGCAAGCTACCACACGGACAAGTCAAAGGAGGAGTGTCAGCTCCCTCTGAAAGATCTTGAAATAGCGCTTACAATCGCACTGCAGCAACCCAGCTGAATCGGTCTCTACAATTGAAAACGGTGTATGCGCATACAGGAAGTTGACTACGACTTGTGAAAGTAGTAAACGCGAGCTAATTTATTCGTATCGTTTAACCTGAATATTTATTCTTCATTTAAGTCGTAGATCATAAGATAGATGGTGTAAATTCCAGTCAAAAACCTTTAAGTACGACTCAGGTAGTCGCATGGGTACGATGATGGACCTTTCCTGGCTTCCGCTTGGTGTTGTCGATCTTTCCCGAGAGATCTTAGGTGTTTGATCTTAGGGCTAGCAGTGCCCTATGAAACCAGTTAGATGGCCTCTTCTTAGCAATTCTGTTAACCGTATGTTCTGTGGAAACCAACGGGTCTTCGTCAATATCTTTGGCGAATCCGATCTCGCGCTAATAGGGCTTAAAAGAGAATGAAATGGAGGCTATCCGGCCTGTGTGAATGAAAGAAGTCTTTTTTTAGAAAATTGTCGATACCCATCACTCCTCCAGAGTCCCGGTACATGATAGACGCACATACAAGATGCGATGCGCCCTATTATACTAGACATATACTCTTTCACAGAGTACGAATGCTATGTATCGATCGACTGCGACTGATGTTGACTCTCGAGGTTTTAACTGTTTCACTTCCATTTTTTTCTTCCGTTTTCGACCGTTCAACGCTAGGAGTACGCTTCTAGCTTCGATGCGTATTTATGGCAATTCTTTCGTGTTTGGCACCGGACCTTCCCTCCTGTCCGGTCTAGTGCAGTCTATTTTGATGCCGCGATCAAACGATACTAGACTAAACGAGTCTCACACGAATGTAACAGCAGATTGAATGTATTATCAACCACTTCAAAAGATACAGCCGTGTATTGTTCCCTTCCACTATTATTAGCCATCACCACCGTCAATATGATGGTTCCAATCGCCAGTATCCTAACTAAACGCAACGGCAGCAGCAGTAACCGCAAATGGCGACAACAAACTGAGAACAAAGGAATTCCTTCCACGCCACATCGATACCCCCTTCGTTTCGCGCTCTCATACCCCTTCCATCTGACATCGCTTTCGTAGGAACAGCGGCAGTAACAATGGCTACCGTTTGTCCCTTTCCCGTAACGGTGCCGTCACCGCGCGTAGCGGTGCTGGTCGCGACGGCGTCTGTGCTACTGTCAGACCAGCTAATCGCAGGGCAAACGCTTTGCTGTTGGTAGTCGACGCCGGTTGCGCGTGCTGGTATCTAGTGCTTTCTCTGCGTTTAATCGTCTCGTTCGTGGTTCAGTTCATTCAAATTTGATGCCGGTGGCTGTCTCGATGGTTGCGCTCCCGCAGTCTCGCGACCGACGATCGTCTTTCGATTGAACGTTGGCCGAAAGTCGATACTTTGCAGCAATTCGCGATCAAAAAACGAAAAGTGCTGCTCAGTGGGAGCGATGGTGGGAGCAGGTTCGTCAAGTGGCCACCGAAACGGTTGGTACACGTCATTGAAATGGGATTTGACAGGAAAGGCGTCGAGGAATATCGGTAAAATGTTCTAAGACGAGGAAAAACTGTGTTGGCGGTAGTGCTGTTCTGATCGTTCTGAGCAGAACGGGGAGCAGGGCTGTTACGAGACAGACATCTGTATTGTTCAGCATTGTCTCTTCGATACGTCAAGTGACAACCAACTTAGTAATTACCGACATCGTCATTGTCATCCAAGCCACTAGATCGAAATTAATTAGGACTTAGGACTTGCAATTGAAGAGTTTGAAGAAGAATTTCTATCTGACAGCAATAGGCTGTACCTAAAGGACCAATTGGGCCGGTCGGAGCAACGAGACCCAAATCTAACGAGTCACCGAAACTCCAAGCTTACCGTAAGAGGTCGAACCCTATCGCCGTGCTAGTAGAACCGAATTTCCGTTTTTTTGCTGTCTGTAGCAAAAATCCTGGAGAATTCCTGGAATCCTGGAGACGTCGTCTGCCCTCCTACACAATATTACCTTGTAATTTAAATCTGCTCGAGAGGAACGGATTAAGTGCCACAAGTACTTCAATCGTTTCGTAGTACGCAGCTGACCAGGTTCATATACGCGACAGTGGCTCACTAGTCGATCGTGTGTGAATCTTGCGCTAGCTAGGATTTATCTTCACATGAGCGCAGATGGGCATTTGACAAAGAGCTCAAAACAGAACAGAAGGAAGACACACTATGAGACACAAAAACGAAGAGATGCGCCATCCAATGTGTCATAGCTAACTACAATTAATACTAGATGTTCGAACTATGTAGAATCTCACGAGCGGAATCATTGCATTATTGCGACTCCACTGCATAGAACTTTTGCGTATATTTTTACTAGTTCATCATCTGTCTTTTTAGTTACTATTACTGTGTGTGATGACATCATTGGTCTCTGCTGTCCATTGGATAAACATCGCTAATTAACAGTGCGTTCTTCTTAATGGATCATCTTGCCTCGATGAAGCCTCAGCGCACCACTTAACTCGTAAGTCTGTTGTAAAAATTAGAAAAGGCACTATATATTCACGGCGGGAGTTTCTTGCGCAGCTTGATCGTACAAGGCCACAGTATAAAGGAAATCAAATAGAAGGCCTGTGTAGCTAATCAGCTAGCTTTTATCTAGACGAATTCAATCGAAATTGACCTATAGCATAAATGATAAGCGAAACGCTTTTAAAGTACTATATTCAATATTTCTGTGTTGTTACTACTAATATACGGAAACTCTTTAAGGTGAACTGCGCCTAGCTAAATAGTCGTTTATCTACGTTTGTATTTTGATTTATTTTAGTAGACCTTTATTCGCAGAATACTTATTTAGAAATGATTAGACCTCGGCCACTCAGTAACGGATCAATATAGCACCATCGCGAATATAGCAGAATTGGTGGAGTGCGGTAACCCACCATTGCTTATCAATAATAACCTGTTAATTGTTGTATATCTCTGATAAGAACATGATGTCGTTCTTAAACCAAATATAGTAACAATAATAATAAAATATAACAAGAAAAATAAATCTAGCTTGAAGCTAGGTAAAGTTTGACGAAGTAGGATATTTTTTTCTATGTGAAAGTCTTTCCGGGTAGAGTATGATGTAAGGCCAGCGCCCTTGACGTACTTTTGAGTGTATAGCAAACCTTATTATTTTTCGATCGCAGTCGTTTCAAATTTTCCAAGTATTTGGCCGAAGATTTAACTAGCCGTAGCCATAGAATTCATACTACTGTTAATATGTAGAAACAATAATAAGAACAAACGAAAGAATAATCTCACTAGAATAACAAAACGTTCGACACTGCCTTGGTAGGAAGTCTTCAAGAACCTCAAATTTCTAAACACATATTCATCAGCATTAATGAAGAATAAACAGGAAGCAAACACTGAAAAGATTGTTGATCGACCTCTGGTCAGTATGGTCAATAGAGAAATCGACCACAAAGTAACAATGATTGATTCCGTAGGATGTTTTATCAGACTTAGTATGTGCGTGTTACTTTTACGATACCGTTGTATGTACAATATATGATTACCTATCTATATATGATTCCAATCAACACGAAAACTTTATCGAAACTCGGTATCCTTCAATAGAGCTGTGTCTTTTTTAAGTCTTACTTTCTTTTTTTTTTCTAAATATCATATTTATAAATACTGTATTTTTAAATAGATCATACATTTCCACTCATATATTTGCTAGCATCGCACACACTCGAAACCTGGGTGTTTATTCGATCGAACGTATCTGACACGGGCATACAACACAACTAATGTCACTAAGAATATTTTATTAGGATTGCTGCATACATGCACACTATTGCACGGGTCCCAAATGCGAGTAACTGAACATCTACCTCGCATATAGGGACCCGATATTGTCCATAACATCGAAAGTTCCTTCTGATATTGTGGAAGTCGTGTCGCATCACTGTGTATTACTCATGAATAATATGTGTAGTCGTAGCCGTAGCAATTAATCTTGCTCAGACATTGTATTTCATCTTGTTATAGAACGCGCACATCAATAAGTAAATACCGATTCGGTAAAATTCCGTTTTTTTTTTTCTTGGTAGGTACAGCCATTTTTAGTTCTATAGAAATTACCCAAGAAACCAAATGAAACGTTTTTTATCGATCAACACTGCCGATGTTTTAGGCTATGTCTACCAAGTGGCTTGGGTGACGCATAAACCGCGCATACGAAACGTTAACGACCTCCGACCATTTCGAATAGTAGTAATTCTTCTCAGTTGATTCGGCTGTACCCCTTTTCTCCTTAGCTGATAACAGTTCGTTGCAAAACCGTAATACTACAATTAATGGATTTCGTCGTTTTACAAGTTCACAGGAGTTATGGCAGGTCTCCCCTCAAGTACTGCTTTGATGTTGTTGACGGCCAAGGTAGCCATTTGTACACGGACGTTAGTTTCGGCACTGCCGATATGAGGCGTCACAATGAGGTTATCCAACGTAAGAAGCTTTGAATATGCCGGAAGCGGCTCGGGCTCTGAAACGTCTACGAATAACCGTTCGAAATGTGTTAGTGCTATAATACTTATCTCTCGATTAGATTATCGCTTCTAATGTAATAAATCTCTGATGTATCAAAGCCGCTACATAATTTTGAAACTATAATAATATATATAAAAATCATCTCTTTTTGTTAATATAAGAACAGGTGATGCTTTACTTTCCTGGCAGACACTGAAGTTAGAGGTATATAACAAAACGAAAATATAAATAACATTTTATTACTAAAAACGATATGAAATATTTCATGTTTATTCGTTCTGCTGCATACACCCATTTACTTCGTACTGAAGTCAGGATCCATGGGGATCTACGTCGATGCTATCTACCCCACAAGACAGCAGGTTCAATCATGTCTATGCAATATACAAACAAGCATTAGACAATCACACGTTTTTTTTTCGTCATGTGCCCCCCTAAAAGCCTAGCCTACTATGATCTATCTGTTGACCACAGCAAATCGTGCTGAACGATGTTATCACTTCGATCTCATGACGGATATCTGAAATGGCCTAAGAAATTAAGTACATCGCTCCCAAAGACTCGTGAAGCTACTCAAAGATGTCAAGACGGTGTTGTCCCTTACATATTATTCTTCAAACTATGTTAAAGACGAATGTGCTTAGATAGTGGACGGAATGCGTGTTGCGCATAGGCACCTAACAGTTTCGTTGATTTGCGCGAGTGGGAAGTGATAAAGCCCTCGATGTAGGCAATTCCTATTAAACTTGTACGAACAAATACAAGTGAATATTGATAAGATAAATCTATTAAATTTAAATGTTTAGTTTTTGAGTAACGCTACTTGATTGTTGATCTCCCGTTATTGTCATTTATGATACGCTGCTTGAGGAAATTCCAGAAGTCCCCTCTGCTGCTTCATGAAAAGCTATCCGACACGTTTCAATGTGATCTTTCCGAAACCGTCACACAATTAGTTAACGAAAAACATGATGAAAGTGTAACATACCTAGCGCAGCTGCCCGTATTACGCCGTTTTTCAGGGCATCATAGAGCGCGTCCTGATCGACGACTCCTCCGCGTGAGGTATTAACAAACACACAATTTTTCTTCATTTTTGCAAATGTTTCAGCGTTGTACATGTGGCGAGTTTCTTCGTTCAGGTTCGTCTATTTGGAAAACGGTATAAAAAAAAAAAGCAGGTTCGTATAGTCGAAGGATGTAGGCAGGTAATGTTTCATTATGTGGTTATTTTTATAATGTGCAAGAACATGAATTCTTGACTGCATTAATATGAGTGTTCTTCCGCTGAAAATTGCATAAAACATACAAACACAACTCATGATTTTATCTCATACACTGGCTAAATATTCGGAAAATGCAACACCAACCACCTCATAGACGCTAGAAACCTATGGCGAATAGGTCGTCACCATTATCGGCCTAGGATACTGTGCCCATCACCCACTTACATCCATATGACCGAACACAGATATCTGCCAGCCCGGATATTGCACGTTTTCTAGGCTAGCCTCAGATAAAGCTACTTCTTCCTTAGGGGGCATTAAGCTAGCAAGAATGGTGTAGTCTGTTGGGCGTGAGTATCTATCTGTGAACGTTAGCAACCCATCCGCTACGTCTCTGGTCCGCACTTCGGCGTTCGTGCAAAACTACCGACTCTGTAAACATGTCACCTGCACCCATATACATTCGCAGTCGCCAGTAGTCTATGGCCACCAGTCATCGTTGCAATTCGTTCCTCTTCCCTTCCCATTCGGCCACGTTGTCATTATTGTTATTGTCATCGACTTAGCGCATTGTAAAGCTATTGCTTCCACGTTAATATCACCACCACAAAGGAAGCAACGGTCCAATTTGTTTAAGCACTGAGACACCAACACAGCGCGGACAACCAATGAAATGGAAAGGACATTGCATGGCAAACAGGTTTGCCAGGAAAGCGCCAAACCGACCGATGACTGTGTCGACTAGCGGATAAGTGGCAGTTCGATGTCCTCCTTTTGGCCTCTTCTTGCGTCAAAACCACTGGGATAATTAGCCTTTGCCACGGTGAGGCTGAACTAACGGTAGTGATGGCTGACCACTGTGGAGGTTTGTGGGGCTCAACTCCAGCGGGGTCGTTTTCTATGCGATCTAATAGCTGCTTGATTATAGCCGGTTGTTATGGCTAACGGTTTGTTGGGAGCTCGCAACCGCAAAAGAAGCAAAGCAGAGATCTGGGGCGAGACGGAGTTGACATATGGTGAAGCTGATGGTAGACTGGTAAGTAGGATATAGTAGACGACGTGATTGATGCGGGTCGAAAACGCAAAATGTGCTTGAATTTAGAAGCGGCTTTCTTGGCATAACGCAGCTATCTACTTAGCGTTGGCTGAAGACGTCGATATACCGGATATGCCGTGTCGATTAGCGGACCTAAAACTTACTCTGTCGTTTCAGTAACTTCGTCAATAGCGGAAACAGCGAATATTAAGCAAAGATGCCACATAGTTAAAAGGCTGCTAATTAGAATCTTAAAAGAACTAACTTTATGTATTTTGCTTACGATCACAATCTGGACACAAGTGGTAATTAGGACAAAAATGAAAATGGAATAAAATTTGCTTGCCCCCTCGCCTCCCCTCCCCGCGGCCCCCGCGCTGATATAACACACGTAACGCGTATATTGAAGTCATAATGAATGTCTATTACGATATAAACGGACGTGTCTTATTTGAGTTTTTAATTCGCTGCCCTATAGTATTATCGCTGCTGCTATCGTTTGTTATTAGCGTTGTTTGTACTAATATGTATATGTGCAAAAACGTTTTTATCTATGCCAATGTAAGTACGTGGTTTTGTGCACCGTACTCAATGCCGATTATAAAGGTCCTAGCTTAAGACCTCAGCAACTCAATTAGCAGAACTGTTTTCAAATTGACGGTATCGCAATGGACACGTTGGCCCAATAAAAAAATACTAGCACGCCCGACCGTGAGAAACTTCGCCGATCGAACAGCTGTCATATGCGTTATAGTGGGTACACAGTACCCATGCAATTCAAGGCGTTTACATAATTAATTTTTTATAGCCTTTGTGATTAACAATGTTTATCATCGGACTAGGCAGAATAAAACAAGTTCGTATTTTATAAATTACGAAGGGAACGATTTTACAAACGGCATTTCGAATGAGTTGAATCTAGCGTTTGGAAATAATATTTTTTTTTACTTCCTTCGGTAATGGAAAAAGACGTTCAACAGCGCCTCAATCGTCAATAACAACAAACGCGTATGACTGTGTGAAATGAAAAGAACGGATTAGTACGACATTGTACAAAAATACAAACATATAATAGAATTGCGATAACGACACTCCAGTACAATACACTGCAACCTTCCCAGCTTGTGTAGTTGCTTACGAGTGTGACGATGAAATCGGCGTTTGCCAGGACTTCGTCAAGGGGTCGAAATTTGGCTCCCATTTTCTCCGCTGCTTCCCTCGGATGAAACTTGTCATAGTAAATTGCCTCCTTGATACCGAATGCTGTGCAGTGGGCCAGGACACTTTGGGCGATTCTGCCCATACCGACAAAACCTGCAATGCGATCCGTTATCAGATGAAAAAATCTAAAAAACTACCGGGACCAGAAAAGAAAGCATCAATAAGAACACACATTAGTCATGAGCCCGAGCGTTTTGCATTTACAGTTTGCTAACATGACGTTCCCATAGAAGTTTTCTCCATAGTCAGCGAAAAATCTGAACAGCTAATTACGCTACATTTTTGATCGCACCCTACATTTTCTAATATGGATAATGGTTGAGGCGGACACCCGTTGTTATTTTCATAAGGCCTTAATTAGCCTTAATTAGGTAAGCTTAAGATTTTTTACACTTGATAAGAGGATTTCGAGCGCACGATACATGCTCAAGGGCTCGATTTAAACTACTTTACATTTATTCCTTTTTAAATACTACCAATTTAGTATCAAACGTTTAATATCAAAGAAGCTATGCGCCCTACACACTTCTCTACGGAAGTGTGTATGGCGTGCAGCTTCTTTCTAAGGGAACTTCGAATATCTATATTCTTCTATAACAAGCAAATTTGGCAAACTTTGAAATTAGATAATTTTAAATTAAATAATTGAGAGACAGTGATGCTTTTAATATGTGTTAAAGGCATTCTCTTTAACTTTTTACACACTTGTTCGGTGCTCTGGCGGCTTCTGGATGACCATATACCTACCATGGTGTTCCTGTATATATATATACCTTCTCTATCTATGGTGTCTCGAGATGAATTAATTATGGAAAGCGCCGTAGCCGCACGACCTCAGATCGGGAGAATAAGTGGATTGAAGCTAATGCTGAATATTCCTTTGCTCAATCTAGGAAGTATATGATAAAATCAGGCGTTGTTATCAATTAACCAGACTGCGTGCTTCCGATCGCCGTGCTGACAATCCTTAATAAACTCCAGATAGCTAGCTGCATTGAGTGTTTCATTTTCGACAAGTATCTCATTGTAGCAGGCGTCCCCGATGTCTATTGCAAGTACTGCCATAACCTTACAACCGAACCTATTAGACATTATCACTAAACACGATTTCTCTCCAAGGTAACTCCATTATGCCGCCTGGTACCTTTCCGGCTGAGAGTGAAAACAGTATGTTTTAAGCGGATTTTTTATTGATTAAAGCTTCGTAAATTATGCGTGTAGTAAATGCGCCAAACACTAACTGGCCTGAACTCAATGTACGGGAGGACCCACTTTTAAACTCAGTTACTACATGATGTTTACTATTTGGGTCATCATTGCGTAACATGCTACATAGATAGGGCTAGGTTTGACTAACAGAGCGGCTAGATTCCAAGCTCTGTTTTTAGAAAACTTTCCTCCACCGCGACCATATAATTGTTTTCCGGGACCTGATATCTGGTCATCTTCTTGTTGGTCTTCAACATTCGAATCTCTGTTCTTAGAACGTTTGCACCGTTCATGTACTGTGCTTAAGTTTTTTTTTGCCTTCGATAAGCCTTGGCAGCGCTGCGGCCGAGGAACAAAGTTTGACTACTGAACAATTATTATGGAAATTCATAATATTATTCAACCATCAAATCGAATCGTTAAAAAAAAACGTAAACTCAACCGATTTTCACTCAAAATTCATTTAGAAGACCAATGGATTTACCAGCCAAATCGTATCAGCAACACGTAGAAGTTTGCCGGACTCGCTTGTACATATATATCTACGTATCTTGCTACAACACTATCATATCAGATGTCTGTTTGTAATGATTTTTCAGCTGCAGAAATAATATCGAGGTGATACATAAAGGTAACATCATTACGTAGAGCTACAGTATCGAGTAAGCTCGATTATGTTTGCTTTCTGACGTGTTTCGAATTGGGCTTTTAGGAACGATTTTCCTAATGACCTGCCTCCAAGACCGATAAACTATCCGCGGTCCTTTACCGAAAGGTGTTTTGTTTTGAAAGGTGCACCTAGCGAACTGGGTCGATGACACTCATACATGAACACTATCCCAAAAAAAATAAAGGTTAGCTTCCAGTAGTGACATACTCCTCTGTGTGGTGACCCTCAGTCACTTGCCGATCTTGCGATTGCAGATCCCTTCCTCATTCGTCAATGCCCGTTGCGGTTGGTTTAAACAGCACAATGAGGTGAAGGCAATTTTTTAACCAACCTGACGATTTGGTTGAGATGTTAATCCATCGTTATTACGTTAAGTAGCCCGTTCTACACCAGTTCCATCTTTTATTGAGGCAAATATCACGATTGTAGCTCTTCCCCCTTGCTCAAGCATGGGGACCCATGACTAGACATTTCGACCCATCTCTCGTACCTGCTGACAGCAGGGAGCAGAACAGAGCCACGCGAGTGGCCCGCTTCAAGTCAAGTTAACCCCATGAAAGGCAAGCATGCCTTGCCATTTCTACCTGATTCAGCTATCTTATTATTTGCTGACGTCAACATTTAACAAACGCTATAGGCTTTTCCTCACTGGCGAGACCAAGTCTTTCCGCCATCTAGAGCCAGCCACCTAGTATTAAATGAGCCAACACCACAGCTTCGGCGTCCTCAGCACCCATAACAGTAGCAGACATAGCAGAAGCATAAACTATGCTAGCAGACAACTATGAGTGCTACGTCCAGCGGGCAGATATGTCGTGCAGCGCCCGCTGACCGTTATTTGCCAAACGAATGATTCTTTTTGTGCTGTTAAAGCCTAGTTGTGTTGCTTTTTAAACCATACCGCTCTACGCATTGTAAATATGTGTGAAGCTCTATAGGTCGAATTTTTGCCGGCAATTACTATATCTTCTATACTAATGACAACAGCTGACAATGCAAGGATAGATGGATGGAGTGTTGACGACGCCTGGCCCGTCGACCTGCCCGGAACAACGAGCAACGTCACTTGCCCCACAAATCATTTTAACTGTTATTATTGTTTTATTGTTAAGTGTTACAAATACTGTTTGCAACACTAGCCATATGGCATTAATGCGGCAATTTCGTCTGGGAGGATGAATCTATCGCAGGATTCTTTCTATGAACATACAGCTGTTTCTCATAAAGCCGCATACGATTATCGAATAAAAGGATCATAACATTCTCCTACAATTAACAGTGAGTGATAGATTAGCAAAACGCTTATAGGGAAGTCTAATCTGTTTCTACGTTCATTCGATTGTTCTAGATTCATGTTATTCTTATTGTGTTGAATACCAACGTAATTCGGTTTTTAAGCTTTGAACTCCATAAGTACCTTCAAAACGAAACCAACGTGGTCGAACACAGGTACCCTCAAAATGGTTGAGGTCAGCGTGATTACACTAAGCAGACTTAGTCACGTTAATGATATTACGTACCAATCGTCGCACCGGCGAGACCGTGACCACACAGCCATTGCGGGGCCCACGAATAGTTCCAATGACCTCTCTTTACTGTGTTGGCAGCTTCAAAAACTCTTCGGCCAGCAGCCAGCATCAGCGTGACGGTCAGTTCGGCCACCGAATTCGAAGACACATCGGGGGTGTTGGTCACTGAAATTCCGCGGGCTTTCGCTGCCTCACTATCGATGTGTTCGTGTCCTACCGACATCGTTGCAATCACTTTGAGATCTACTCCGGCATCGACCACCTATTGTATGAGGTATATAAAAGAGGTGACCGTCATATTAGAATATGCTGCTGCTGCTGCTGCTTTGAAGCGAATAAAATTCACTTAATACATATATAAAATAGCACGTATGGACGTACGAAATATGTGTTAGAGATCGGTAGCTTAAATATCTAAATGAGTATTAGAACGGATAACTTTATGATACGATCGTTACCATTACGTAACAACAAGTCTTCGGCCGTTCGTGGCTATGGTTTCTTCAAAGAATAAGGCCTAGCCACGGAAGGCGATTCGAAAATAATTCACACCATTTTTTCCCCCATCTTGACAGTGCAACTTTCACCGTTCCCTCTCGATCTGCTTTATGCTTTTTTTTTTTTTTTTTTTTTTTTTT